ACCTGCGCACGCACACGGGCGAGCGGCCCTACCCGTGCCCGCAGTGCGGCAAGGCCTTCGGGCAGAGCTCGGCGCTGCTGAAGCACCTGCGCACGCACACGGGCGAGCGGCCCTACCCGTGCCCGCAGTGCGGCAAGGCCTTCGGGCAGAGCTCGGCGCTGCTGCAGCACCAGCGCACGCACACGGCCGAGCGTCCCTACCGCTGTCCTCACTGTGGCAAGGCCTTCGGCCAGAGCTCCAACTTGCAGCACCACCTGCGCATCCACACCGGCGAGCGGCCCTACGCCTGCCCGCACTGCTCCAAGGCTTTCGGGCAGAGCTCGGCGCTGCTGCAGCACCTGCACGTGCATTCCGGCGAGCGTCCCTACCGCTGCCAGCTCTGTGGCAAGGCCTTTGGCCAAGCCTCCAGCCTCACCAAGCACAAGCGGGTGCATGAGGGCGCCGCGGCAGCTGCAGCCGCCGCCGCTGCAGCTGCTGCAGCTGCAGCCGGCCTGAGCCTCGGGCCTGGGCTGAGCCCTGCATCTATGATGAGGCCCGGGCAGGTCTCCCTCTTGGGTCCTGATGCTGTCTCTGTGCTCGGCTCTAGCCTGGGCCTCAGCCCTGGCCCCAGCTCTGGCCGTAGCCCTAACCCTAGCTCTGTGCTGGGCTCCCTTTCCAATCCCAGTCCCAAACCCCTCTCTGGATCCGGATCCCCCCCTAGCCCCGATCCTGTCCAATCTTCCAACCCTAAGCCTGGGCATGATGCCGATGCTGACCTTTTGCCCAGTCCTGACCATGAATCTGGTCCTGGCCCAGATCCCGATCCTGTGCCCAGCCCTGACCCCAACCCTGAGTCCCACCCTGACCCCTGCTCTCCCACCCATGACACTGTCAGCCCAGCCCTCCCTACCGGCGAGAGTCCTGAGTGGGTACAGGAGCAAGGGGCCCTGCTGGGGCCTGATGGCTGAAGGGGACTCCAGCATCCACGGGGCCTGGGAAGTTGTGTGTCATGCAGTTAGTAAAATCCTCCACTGCCCCCCACTGTGTCTTCGCTTGCCTTTTGCGCTTTCTCTGGACACGAGGGTGTGGCCTGGCCAGCCACAAGTCTGGAGCCAGTGTCCTGGCTTCTTCCTCTGGCCCTGGAGCCACATCCTCCAGGTTTCCCAGCTTCCCCCACAAGGTGTCACAGCAGTCTGTCCCACTAGTCACCACTCTCTGCTCCCCCAGTTCTGGCCACTCTAGTCAAGTGGAGGCTCAGCCTACAGGTGGCCTGAGAAGGATACCCTCCCTTTGGCTTTTCCAGTAATGCTGGAATTTCTGGCATGTTGACAGTCTAGTGAGCTGATGGTGGAGCCTGATATGAGACCATGGGGGCAGCCCTGGCCCATCTTCTCTTTTAACACCTTGCTCTTCAAAGTCCCCATTATAGGTACAACCACTGGACAAAGGGAGGCTGTTTGTTTAAATGTTCAACTAACATCTCGATTGCTTGGTTTCACCATGGAGCAAGACAAGCATGGCTTTGACCCTGATAGAGCTCATACATCAAATCCAGAAATGTTTAAGGAGTAATTACAGAGTATGATACATTCTAGAGGAAGCAAATAAGACTTCTGATTTAGATGGGGGCGGGGGGAGCAGCTTTCTCCAAGAAGGATTTTATAATCCCAGTAACAACTAAAAATAACCAGTACTGTTTGCCCAGCCTTGTGCGATGCTTTTGCATTCTCTCATTTAATTATCCCAATAGTCCCAGGAGGCAGTTAACTCTGACTGAGTGTCCCCATTTTGCAAATGAGGAAACTGAGGCACATGGAGCTTCAGGGACTCTGGAAGACAGAAAGGCAGCACCTAGATTTAAACCCAAATTGAAGAAAAAAGAAATAAACCCACATTGTCTGCTCTCTACAGCGACAGTCTACATAATTAACCATTATGCTCCATGGCAAGACTGTGCAAAGGCCCTGGGGCCATTGAGAGATGCGCTGTGGGAGGAACTCCTGGGGCAGACCAGAGAGTCTGGTAGACTGAAATGCGGAGTTTGCTTGTCATTCCAGAGCAACGGGAAGCCAATGGTAGGTGCAGGAGAGGACGGATAGGAATTATTCTTTGAAGAAGCTTCTGGCTGCTGGGTGGAAATTGGAGTGGAGGGAGCAGGAGGAGTGGAGCCGGGCTGAGATCAGGGAGGAGGTTGCTGCAAGGGTCCAGGCCAGGAATGTTGAAGGACTCTGGGCTGGGGGCAATAGGGGTGGGGATAAGTGGTCCCTTTTGGTACGTAGTTAGGCAACAGGGTTTGCTGAAGGTCCGTATGAGAGGGGCAGACGTGTTTCAGAGAGGAAGGAGGAAGGCAGCCCTGGGATAGGAAGCAGGGTCATCACCGGACACTGCGGAGGGTAAGGGGTCAAGCTCTGGACATGGAAGTCGCGAGGTGGGCACTGCACGCGGAGCATGACAGTGAGCCAGGGGGGGGCCAGTCGTTGTCACACTCAGAGTCAGCCCATCCCCCGACTCCCCAACACCTATCGGCGCTAGGACCTCGCGACCGCCTTCGGCTACGTGAGCTGCTTGGCTGAGGTGCGCATGCGTGCTGCTCCGGCCGAGGTGTATCATCCAGACTCCAAAGGGAGGGGCAGGAGCTTGGTCCCTCCCTGCATGGCAGGGTTTAACATTTGTCCTGACAGCTTTTCCAGGCAGGGGGCCAGGCCCTAGAAAGAAGCAAGAGTTCTCCCAGTGGGAGTGATGAGGGTGTGTCGGGGCAGTTTTGAGCTACTGTGGCCGGCTGTGACCCCAGCAGTTGCTGAAACTCAGGCTTGAAGGAAATAAGCGGTGGTTAGAACAGTTTCTGTTTGCTGAAGAATTATTGAGGTCTTTACCTGCTTTATCTCATTGAATTTTTAGAGCAGCTTCAGGATCTCAGCCTTAGGGGTAGATTTTTTAAATTTACACTTTTCAGATAAGGAGATGGAGGATTAGAGAGGTGTCCAGGGCCACCTGACCAGGAAGTGTCAGGTCTGGGATTTGATTGTAGGGTTGTGTGATTTCCAGGAGCTGGTGGTAAGTCTTCAGCAGAGGTGTTCCATTGTTACTGTTATTGTCAGTCACCCCTTCTCCAGGCCTGTGGGTTGTGAGAGTGTCATCTGGATGGGTCAAGTTATGATGAGCATGAAGGTTGTCCTTTGGGTATTTGTTCAGAAAAAACTGGAATGTGGGTCGAGCTCTGTGTTTATACCTGGAGACTGGAATTGGGAGGAGCCCGGGAGTCTGGAATGCCCTATGAGAAGCCACCGGAAGTCGGGCGGGCGGCTAGCTTCTCCGACTCGGGGCAGTGAGGTTCCCAGGATTTCCAATCGGAGCCTCGGTTCTGTTTCTTTTTTTGCTGCTACCCGGTGCGGGGGAAAGTGCTACTTTGTAAAATCTTTTAGGGGGCGACTGGCAGGGGCAGGGATCGAACCCTGGACCTTGATGTTAGTAGCACCACGCTCTAACCGACTGAGGAACTGGCAGCACGAAGCCTAGGTTCTGATTGCTCAACTTTGCTGGAACCAGACAGCGGGCACCAGCTTCTCCAACCTGCACGGGAGCCTCCCAGGCTTCCCTTCCCGAATCCAGGAGAACCAAGCTCAGCTTCCCTAAACTCAGGCGGAGAGCTGGAGGGATTGCTTCCTTGAATCCAGGCGACGAACAGTTTCAGATCTCCAAACCCCTGGAAGCTCCGCCTTCCTAAGCTCAGGCCCAGCCTCCAGCCCCTTCGGACGCCCCCCTCAGGGGAGCCTGGAGGAAGACCCCTTGTGTTGGCTTCCTCTTCCTGAGCTAGCTGGAGGCTCCTGATAGGTATCCCAGTTGGTAGGGTCTGGAGTGGGTGAGCTGTGATCCCAGCTAGGGAGACAGGGCCTGCCCTCTGGCCTTTCTCCCAACTGGCTTGTAAACAACTACAACATCATCCAGACTCCAAAGGGAGGGGCAGGAGCTTGGTCCCTCCCTGCATGGCAGGGTTTAACATTTGTCCTGACAGCTTTTCCAGGCAGGGGGCCAGGCCCTAGAAAGAAGCAAGAGTTCTCCCAGTGGGAGTGATGAGGGTGTGTCGGGGCAGTTTTGAGCTACTGTGGCCGGCTGTGACCCCAGCAGTTGCTGAAACTCAGGCTTGAAGGAAATAAGCGGTGGTTAGAACAGTTTCTGTTTGCTGAAGAATTATTGAGGTCTTTACCTGCTTTATCTCATTGAATTTTTAGAGCAGCTTCAGGATCTCAGCCTTAGGGGTAGATTTTTTAAATTTACACTTTTCAGATAAGGAGATGGAGGATTAGAGAGGTGTCCAGGGCCACCTGACCAGGAAGTGTCAGGTCTGGGATTTGATTGTAGGGTTGTGTGATTTCCAGGAGCTGGTGGTAAGTCTTCAGCAGAGGTGTTCCATTGTTACTGTTATTGTCAGTCACCCCTTCTCCAGGCCTGTGGGTTGTGAGAGTGTCATCTGGATGGGTCAAGTTATGATGAGCATGAAGGTTGTCCTTTGGGTATTTGTTCAGAAAAAACTGGAATGTGGGTCGAGCTCTGTGTTTATACCTGGAGACTGGAATTGGGAGGAGCCCGGGAGTCTGGAATGCCCTATGAGAAGCCACCGGAAGTAGTTCATTTTCTCCCCCACAAATCAACAACAGGAACATTGATGGAATGTTCTGACATTTACCCTATGCCAGCCCCTGTCGTACATGCTTTATAAGCATCAATTCCTCAGCTTCCCCATGAGAGATGATTATTGCTCCATTTTACAGATGAGGAAACTGAGGCTCAGAGAGGCTGAGTGTTCTGTCCAAGCTGGTGAGCACTAGGGGCAGGAATCAGCTCAGGCCTTTTTGTCTCCCAAACACCAACTCATAATCTCTGAGCAACACTGCTGCATATATCCATAAAACGCTGCAGATTATCTGGGTTTTCTTAGACCTCTCAAAGTTCTTCCTTGGCTGGAGCATGGAGCCATGAGGAGAGGCCCTTTGCTGCCTCCACTGTTGGGCAAGAAGGTGGGGGGAGGTGGGACAGGTGGGGCTGTATAGGCCTGGTTCCCACTACCTTCTCCTATTCCTACAGAGACCGAGCGGCTCCTGACCCCCAACCCTGGGTATGGGACCCAGGTGGGGGCTTCGCCAGCCCCTCCCACCCTTCCAGAAGAGGAAGATCTCCGCCGCCGTCTCAAGTACTTTTTCATGAGTCCCTGTGATAAGTTCCGGGCCAAAGGCCGCAAGCCCTGCAAGCTGATGCTGCAGGTGGTCAAGATCTTGGTGGTCACGGTGCAGGTGAGACCAGCCAAGAAGGGACCCCAGCAGAATGCCACCCGCAGCTGCTCTTCTCCTTGAAGGAGAGTCTTGGAGTGGGAGCCTAGTTCTGACCTCTCACAGCAGCATAATGACAATGACAGTAGTATTAACCAGCCAAGAACCACCTGAGATCTGTGTGTTCAGCTGCTCCTTTTAGGTTCATCAGCACCCTTCAGTCTCCTGGCAACTGCTGTTGCCCCCGTCACATGGGTGAGGCCACTGAGGCTCAGAGAGGTTAAGGGACTTGTCCAAAGTCACACAGCAACTGAGCGCTGGGAGCTGGGATTTGAACCCAGGCAGTCTGACGTCCTGTTGACTCTCAAAGAGATCAGACCCAGTGGCTGAGCAGAGAGTTGGTCTTCTCTCTCTCATAAGGCCCTGTGCTAGGCTCTGGGGACCCCAAGGTAGATGAGACTCAGCCACTGCCCTGAGTGATTGCTTCCAGTCTAGGGCTGTGACTTTGGGCGTGTTATCACACCTCTAATTTCCCTTTCCAGTAATGGTACTTACGCTGTAGGTTTGGGTTTAGCACAGAACACTGCACCCAGTAAACACTTAATGAACATTATCTGCTGCCATGAGATACAGGAGAGTCCACTGTGTGCTGCGTTTTGGGGACATGATGGTGGGTGTGGTGTGAGCTTATGCCAGGGGTTGGGGGCTGAGGAGGGCAAAATTAATCAAATCGAGCCAAAAAATGCATAGGTCCCCTTCAGAGGGTCCTACCCCGAC